CCATTGAAAAATCGGACAATTTGTGTGCTTTTCTTAAACAATTCGTTTAACTTATAAGTTTTATGTACTTTATCTTCTTCACTATCGCTGTTTTCACGGTCGGCTGGTATTATAAGATCATACAGCTCTCAATTCTTCATTTCTAGATCTTCATTTAATTTCATTCATTTTTTTAACTTTTCTCTCGTTTAAAGTTTGTACAATTTATTTGGTTTCATTTTCAGTTGATGAAATAACTGAAATTATTAATAACTTTCTGGCTGCCATTTATGTTAGCAAGGGCTCACTATTGATGAATGAAGATTGAACCGTATAAAAAAAAAAGAAAAAAGCGAGACCAAGTAACTGGGTAATGGAAAGAAACTTTTAAGAATTCTTAAGCACATAACTATCCATATGATGGAATAATACCTAAATAAATAAATAAAATATCATGAGTCAAATAAAAAATATTCATATTCAAGAATTATATCATCAATTAAACATTTAAATAGCCAGAATAAATTAGAGTGAAATTTAGTTGATAAAATCTTTCTGATGCTAGTTTTGCAGAATTGTTCTTTAAATTTAATTAAAGTAAATTATTTTAAATGTTGTAAGATAGAAAATTATTTTAAATGTTGTAAGATATCTATGGAGCTAGAAAAATTGAGAATTTTTTTATTCTCGGAACTGTGCATGCAGTTTTAACTTTATTTCAAAGCCATTACTGTCTTACCATGGATTTTTGAGAAATGCGGATGAGCATTAAAAAGGTAACATGACCTTCATTGGTAGAAAAAATGAGTTTTGCTTTTTGTTTATATAGATTTGAATAATTGAAACATGCCTCAAATAAATCATAAAAGTGGAGCAAGAACCTGTGTTAGTCATAGATTTTTAGCATAGAAACTCCATCGATTTTGAGGGTGAACCAAGTCCCTCTTCATCAGGAACAACAAAATCTGCAACTGAAAAACCAAGTTACAAACATATTTATACCTTTAATGGCCATTCACTCTGAGGTCTGTCTGAGCTAAAGGAGTCAGTTTCATGGGTCGACTAGCTTAGCTATGCCTGCAGTTCAGAATTTTCAATTTGCTGCCTTATGGGAAAAAACTGGTTTTGGAAATTGGTCGGCTACTTCAGTTGTCTCCATTAACTCAGATAAATCCCAGTGTGAACAGCTCTTTAAGGGCCATTCAGACTGGGGTTTATCTGAGCTAACAGAGTCAGTTCCATGTGTTGACTAGCTCCACTATACGTGCAGTTGAGATTTTTCAACTCGCTGCCCTATGGGGGAAAACTGATTTTGGAGTTGGGTCGACTATGTCAGATGTCTCTGTTAGCTCAGATAAAACCCGGTGTGAAGGGCCCTTAAGGAAATTTAGAGAGATGCTGGAGTAGTGCCATCTGTTAGTAGAAATAATATACTAACAGAAATTATCTTAAATCTCTATTATCCTAATTTTTCAATTTTCATTAATATTTCTACCAACAGATGGGGCTACTCTCTCATCTCTCTCGACTTCCTTAAGGGCCATTCCTACTGGGGTTTATCGGAGAGTCAGTTTCATGTGTCGACTAGCTCTGCTGTGCCTGCAGTTCAGATTTTCCAACTTGCTGCCCTATGGGAAAAAACTGGTTTTGGAGATGGGTCGGCTATGTCAGTTGTGTTCGTTAGCTCTGATAAACCCCAGTGGGAATTAATTGCCTTTTAGGGTATAAATATGCTCCTCACTTGGTTTTTCAGTTGGAGATTTCTTTGCTCCTGATGAAGAGGAACTTTCTTCGCTCTTGAAATCGATAGAGTTCTTATGTGAAAAATCTACGCCTAACACAAGTTGTTGCTTCACTTTTATGATCACCAATTCAACTTAAAATATTGGTTCTCCCCCTTCCTTTAAAATTTCATGGACAAATCATTGATAAACAAAGTATATAATTTTAATTCAAGTAAAATTTCTAATTTGTTGATATTTGGCCTAGTGGTGTAAATGTCCCCCCATTTATTTAATATTTTGTCATGCATATTGTAACTCTGCATCATAAAATTAATGTACATCAAATGCCAAATTAACTATATATCTTTAATGTAAAATATACTCAATTCATATACTTTTATTTTGATTAACTTGTGTAAATAACTTATGTAAATAATCTTTTCTTGCTACAAATTTTACCATAAATCCATATTTTCTGCCAGAGTAGATTTTTCACAAAATTTACATCATTATATTAATTATGCATGCCGATTAAATGATTAATTATGCTTCAGAAAGATGTGTTATTATCCAGCTCGTTGGCTGTATTATTCAGTATTTGTTCGCATTTATCTAGCAATCAGCACATTTTCCAGCACTTGTCTCTTCTAACAAAAAAAAAAAAAAAAAACTTATTTCATTTCAATAATACAAAAGTTATTCCAGTCTTTTTTTGTTTTATGAATTTATGCATTAGCATGGTACATGAGTAAGAACGACTATTATGATATGTACATTTAAGAATAAGTTACGGTGAGGCCTATTTAGTTACTAGTGGGATTTATCGTTCAATAAATTTTTCTTGCTTAAAAAAAAAAAAAAAAAAAAAAAAAAAAGCCTTATGAGTGATTAATTTAAATAGGCAAGAAGTTAACAAAAATCAGAAGCGGAATTACAATGAATCTACATTAGAACACCCTAATGAATATTATTATTCTATGACAATGTCTGACTAAATAAATTTTAACAAGTTTTAGGAGTATATAAGTGTTTGAAAATTTTTATTTGTGTGATGGTCACATAATTGTTGATGAAATTTTTTTTGAATTATTGCCATATTTGAGCCTAAGATTAATGCTATTCACGAAGTCGTCTGCATTATAATTTGCTATAACAAATATTGCAATTTTAAACAGCAATATTAAGCTATTTTGAAGGAAATTAATTGAAAAATACAAAAAGTCTATTTTATTTGAAAAACAAAGAATTGTAATTTTAAGATTTTAGCAGAAGAATTTGGAGAAAAGTTTATGGATAGTTCTGAAATCAGTGACTTGGAAGAGAACAGTTTTGGAGATCAAGCAGTGCGATGTATTTGTGTAAATGAATAGTTGAAAACTATTGTGGAAGAAGACTGTAAACATAGAGATGAAATGGAGTGTGAACCGCAAAAAAATACACATAGAATCTGAAAATAGATGTTCCACCTTTGTCTCCAGTTTCAATAGTAATAATTTTAAAAGTGCAATATTTCTTGAGTACTGTTTTTGTATCCAAGCTGCAAGGAAAAAAATATTAAAATAAAGTTTTCTATGTATTTATTATGAATATATAATAGGTTAAGATTGCCTTTTTCCATTGAGCTTGATAGAATGTTGAAGGATGATGTAGGTGATGCAATGTATATGTAATGCTGAACTGCAGTGCAATGTTATATGCAAGTACTGCCATGGTGTAATTTATGCAATGTATATGATGTTTGTAATGTAATGATGTATAATGAATGTAAATGATATAATGTGTGTATGCAATGTAATGTTGTAATGTACATAATGTAAGGATGTAATTTATGTAATGTAACTGTGTGATGCATAAAATGAAAATTTAATGTATGGGATGTATGTAATACAATGATGCAATATATGTAATCATTTAAGGTACATAGTATAACAATATAATGTACATTGTGAACCACATAATGTAACATTGTAATATATGTTGTGAACACTATGTAGGGAACATAAAGTATGTAATGTAATGATGCCACGTACATAACAAATGCCGTAATGTGCATTATGTCTGTGTAATGTTGAAGTACAAGCATGTAATGTTTTACAAGTCAAATGAAAAGTCAGGATGGTTGAATGTAAGCATTACTAAATTGATTGTAATTAGACAGAATGCTTATTGAAAAATGGCAGCAGCTAGTTCTGGTTGTCGTTCTATGGATGTTTAAAATGATTTAGACAAGTGCGATGCAGTAATAACGTTTGTTATGCAATGTACGTTTAAGAATAAATTACATATAGGCCTAATAAGTTAGGAGTACAATTTATCTTTCAATAGCTATTTGTTGCTTTTTTAAACACACCTTATGAGTGATTAATTTAAATACACAAACTAATGGATGTTTGTTTCTTTAACCGTGTAAGGAACATTAATTTAGTCTTAAACTAACCAATTTTTCTCAGTTACTTATCTTTTCTATCTTCCCTCATTTCCATTTCTTGCCAGAATTATATTTCAGTTTCATGTGATATGTAAAGTAGGGTAGAAAAGTATTGTTTAAGCTGGTGTCTGAGTTACTTCAAACAAAGCATGTTCTGCCATTCGACCATGTTGTTTCTCTGATTTAAGCTTGCTCTTTTACTGTTGTGCATATTAATTGCTGGTTTGTGTACATCGGTGGTAAGAGCTAACTCACGTTAATTATCTCTGCCCAGTTTTGGCTGATTATTTAACTAAGGCTTAGTTTTAATTTTATATTTCTATTTTGAATTGCTGCCAAAAGTATTGGCAAAGTTTGTAAGCATCAGGCGTTCTGTCTGTAAGTTATTTATTGAGTTGAATAAAAGGCTGTTTTCACTCTTCCTATGCCTTCTCTTTGGTACAGTTTGAACTTAGCGAATAGATGCTTCATAGTTCAAGTAATGATCTAGCCAGCAAATTAAAGTTAATTTAGTTAGAACCTTACAGTCTAACATTTTGATTTCAGAAAAGTTCAAATATATCAGAGGGCTTATTATTTTTACATGAAGCAGAACTTTTTAATGTGTGAGCAGCTCCTGATTTAAACCAAACTGAAATTGTCAAAATAACTAAATGATAATAAAGTAATTATTCATAACATGATGAAATTTTAGCACCTGTAAATGGATTATGAAATTAGAATTTTACTATCTGTAAACTGGATATCGGTTGGCCCATTAAGGTCAATTTACCGCACTCTGGTTGCATCTAATTGTGTAAATATATCGTAAAACAACTTTTATTTTCTTTTTGGTAAATTAACAAAATGTATGTGTATCTTCACTGTAGCTTTCTTTGGAGTGGCAACAGAAATATTTAGCAGCTACGGATGGTCATCTGAGGCTGATTAATCATTATACTGAAGTTGTAGATTTTTTGTTAAAACAAAAAGGATCATCATTCAAGCCCTCTGTCAAGAAAAAAGACACTAATTTTGAATTTGTTCCTGTTAATCTTCACGTTCAAAGAATGTGGGTTCAGAATGTCACCACTAGAAAAAGTATTGTTCTTTAATATGTTTTGACCATTAAAACATAATCCCTATGATTTTGTTGTGCATATGCTTTACTTTCTTTTTTATCTTGTAGCTGGTGTGTATGATATTATAACAGTTGGAGCATTTTCAGCTTTTCCCCGACGTTTTAGACAAGGAGGATTACTAAGGCTTTTAAATCAGTTAAAGAGTTATTACCCATTGTTCAGGTAATACATTTACATGCATTAATTCATTTTTAAAAGAATGAACTTCATGGTGTCTGTTAGAAATTTGTTTTCCTTTTCTGTAGGTAAATAAGCATTTGTTATGTTTCTGAACATTTTAAGTAATAAGTTTTATACATATTACTACTCTGTATGGCTTCTCAGTAACTAAGTGGTTAAAATCATTTAATTTTGTTTTATCTGATGTTCGGTTCTCTATAAAACATGCTGATTTTATGGGTGTGTTCAGTGTAAGAATGTATTTAGAATTTGAATTTTATCTCACATTTGTTTGTGTGCTAAATAAACTATTGTAGATCTTTTTAAATTTGAATTTATTAAACGTATTTTTTTATATCATAGCTATTTGAATATAATTTGTATCCTTTGTTGTGCAGCAGTGATAATGGCTGTGCCATACTGGGACCAGATCCAATTTCTCGATCTGCAGAAGCCATAATGAGAATTGAACAGCTTCAAGAGGAAATTGAATCAGATCTTCAGAAACTTATAAACCTCTGTGACCAGAAAAGTAGACCAAATGTGCAAACTGTGTTGAATTCTTTAAGTAGTAAGGTAAATCATGTTTCCTTTTCAGTTAAAAATATTTTATGATTTTGTTATAAATTTTTATACTAGTACAAATGAATGAAAGTTAATTAGAAATTTGTACTACATTATCTACTATGAAATTATCTACATGTTTTTACCCTAATTTGTAATTGTATATCTTATATTAATAGTAAAGTAAAGAAGGATGATGTTAATATTGTTTGGAAAAGACACTAGCTTCACTTACATGAATATTTAGGTGTACCAAGTAGCATTCAGTAAGACATATTTTAAATTATTCCACTGGATTAAGTTAAATTTGTTAAGAATTAAAGCCAGTGGCATAAATAAAAGTATACGAGAATGCCATCACATAGAGGCCTGAAAGCTTAGGGGGTCCTTGAATAGCCTACTGAACTACACTTACATGTTTAAACTTTGTTAAATAAACCGATATCATATCAAGAAGCAAGTCGAAAAATAAGAAACATATCTTCACATTTTTATTGAAACATAAAGACAACACGTGCACAACATTACACTGACATTCATAGCTCGCACGCAAAGAAGAAACTTAGTGTTGCCAACATGGTAAAGATAATTGTACCAAACTAACACGCCTCCTTACATTTATATTTACTAATTACAAATAAACATAGATATAAGCAACCTTTTCATCTTTACCATTTACAATTAAGCATAGATATAAACAATAACATTCAACACTTAACACAAATTATTTCAAAAAAAAGTTTCTTTCATTAACTTAAATGTTAAAATCAAAGTTAAACACAATTTAGTTTACATAAGGACATTACCAAAATCTATTTCATTTCAAGCAAAATATTTAAATAAACATCACTTAAATAAACAGTATACAAAATTTATTTCAATTTCAAACCTTCTCTGAATTTCATAAATTTAATCTTTCCTAAAGGTTTAATAAAGATATCTGCAATATTTGATTCTGAATCAATCTTTACAATTTCAATTACTTCATTTTGAAGATTTTCGTGAACATAATGATATTGAACTTCTATGTGTTTTGAATTTTTAGTGAAATTCCTATAATTAGCAATGGCCAGAGCTCCTGAATTATTTTCATAAATTTTAATGGGGTGAGTTATATCAGCAAAAACATCATTCACAACATTTTTCAAGAAATTAATTTCTGTCACAGCCTCAGATAGAGCAATATATTCGGCAAAAGTGGAAGATTTTGTCACACACAATTTTGCTTTTTGGATTTCCAGTAAATTGGATTACCAAATAATTCAATAACAAACCCAGTAGTTGACTTTCTGTCAACAATATCACCTGCCCAATCAGCATCAACATAACAATTCATAATATCAGTTTTAAGATTTTTACTATAGGTTAATTTTAGATGTTTTGTTAAGTACAAATACTTTAAAACTCTCAAAGCATATTTGAAATGTGTCTCATCATAACAATTTTGAAATCTACTTAAATAATTTACGCTGAAAGATATGTCTGGTCTAGTACCATGACTAATATACAAGAGTGCTCCTATTAGATTTCTATATTTGACATTTTGATTTAAATTAGATTGGCTTAGTTTAAGATTAGTCTCCATTGGTGTATCATAAAGCTTTGAATTTTTCAATACCATACAGTTTAGCTAAAGATTCAATATAATTTTCCTGACTCAGTGTTAAGATATTACTTTTCTCATTATCATATTCAATATCAATTCCAATGTAGCTTTTTTACTTTATTTAAATCCTTCATTTTAAATTTATTATGTAGTTGTTCCTTAATATCATTAATTACCTGAGTATCTTTGCAACATATCAACAAATCATCAACAAATAAAAGAATACATACAAATACATCATTTTCAGATTTTACATAAAGACAATAATCATATTTATTTCTACAAAATCCTAGACTCTCAATATACTCGTTAAAACACTCATACCAAGCACGAGGGCTTTCTTTCAACCCATATAGTGCTTTCTTTAATTTATACACTCTATTCGAATTATCATTATAGCCTTGTGGTTGTTTAACATAAACCTCAGACACAACATAACCATTTAAAAAAGCAGTCTCAACATCCATTTGATGAATATTTAAATTATACTGACAAGAATATGAAAGTAACAATTTTAAGGTTTGCATCTTAATGACAGGGGAGTAAGTATCCTCAATACTATCTTTTTGCTGGAAAACCTCGAACCACTAATCTAGCTTTAAAAACATTACCTGGTTTTCTTTTGAATACCCACTTCACATCTAGAATTGCTTTATCCTCTGGTTTAGTCACTAGTGTCCAAGTGTCGTTTTTAACAAGACTGTTCATTTCACTGTCCATTGCCTCTTTCCAATGTCCAGCCTCACTGCATGTTGTCGCCTCCTCAAAGTTACCTGGAACTGTAGCATCACAAAAATTTGCACTAACACAGTAGTACCCGAATTCTTCATGAAATCGAACTGGTGGTTTGATTTGCCTTCTTGGTCTCATTCCACTTTTTGTTTCATCTTCATTTATCACACTGTCCTTGGAGTTATCATTACTCGATTCACATGACACTTCTTGAGGTTCATTCTTCTTATTTGTATCATCATTCTCATCTTCATCATCACAACCTACACACATTATGTCTTCTTCAATGATGTCAACATGCCTGGCAACTATTATTCTGTTATTCATCAAAACTCTATATCCAACTTCTGTATATCCAAGTAAAATTCCAAATTCAGCCTTTTTATCCCACTTAGACTTTCTCTTTTCTTCTGGTATTCTTACATACACTCTACTTCCATATAATTTCAATTCATTTGCAGATGGTTTCCTATTAAAAAAATATTTCATATGGTGTCTTCTTTACAACAGTATTTGTTAATGTTCTGTTTTTCAAATAAGCAGCAGCTTTAATTACTTCAGGCCAGTAACGTCTCTCAACTTTTGCTTCAGCTAAAAGACATCTTCCCATATCCATTATAGTTCTGTTGTAACGCTCAGCAGTACCATTTAATAATTCGTGTACATATGGTGGGCATGACTTTATCTTGAAACCTTTTTCTCTTGCAAATTTGTATATCTTGCTATTCATATATTCACTACCATTATCACATCTTTTTAGTTCTTTGATAGTCTTCCCTGTTAAATTTTGAATTTCATTACATATTCAATTAAGCAATCAGAGACTTGATCCTTAGATTTGATACAATAAATTTTTGCCAACTTGCTATAATCATCAATAAAACTCACAAAGTATTTCTCACCATTACATACACTTGTTCTGTGAGGTCCATTTACGTCTGTATGTATAATCTTCAGAATATCTTCTGCTTTTTCTTCTATTATTCTTGAATGGTAAATTGTGCATTTTATTTTCAATACATATGGCACACTTCATATATTCGGTTTCTATTTCTTTAGGGATTCCTTCTAATAGCTGATCTTTGCACATAATATCAGATAAAATTTTTATAATTTAAATTAATTTAATTAAAAATTAAATAATTAAATCATTTAAAATTTACATGTCCAAATGAACGGTGCAATTTTTCTTTTAACGTTAACTTACTGTTGGTCAAATTTGCATATTTTTAACATAACTATTTACTTTGTATAACCTTTCTTCTTTCTTTGCTATTGCTACTAATGAACCATTGACATCATAAATTTTAGAGAACTTTTTTTTTTGAAACTATTTTATGATTATCGGTAATCTTCGAATAAATTAATAAATTTGCTTTAATTTCTTTTACATAAAATACATTCTTCAATGTTACGATAAATTCAGAGTTATATACAGGAAAAGAAATTATTATATTGCCAACCTTTGTGGCTTTCAAAATCCTTCCGTCACCGACTTTCACTTGAATAGGATTCTTCAAAGTGACTTGCTCTTTGAAATATTCATCCCTGTTTATAATGTGGTCTGTGCATCCGCTAGTAACCAATTGATTTCATTTTTATTCGTCAGAGTGTTTGCACTGGAACTTGTCATGTTACTTTCGATAACAGTGGTGTGAAAACTATTGCCTAGATGACTGTTTATTCTATGGTTAGAGTATGCTCTGCGTTCACAATGTCCACTAAAAGCACGACTACGTCCTTGATTGTTTGAAGCACTTTGACCACGATAATTAGTGGAGTCATTACCACGATAGTTCCTTTGATGGACATGCCAATAATTCTTTTTAATGTGAGCAGGTTTTCCACAATTATAACAGACATACCCTTGTGGACCCGATTTGCTTGTTTCAATTTTGAATGCATTTGATTTTTCTGCTGGTGCGCAATCTTCATAATCATTTTTCTCTTCAAGTAATTTTGATTTGATTTTGCTCTTTAGGTGATCAACTGTTCTGTCCTCTGGTAATACATCTATTAAGTCACCAATGTGACTGTAATTTGAAGGTAATGCTCTTAGCATATAATTCAATTTTTCTTGTTCCCTCACGGTGGCACCGGCATGTTTCAGCTCATTCACATACTTCTCAAAATCATCGAAAAATATATTTACATCAGGATAATTTTTCAGTTTCACACATTCTAAGTTATTTCGGCAAACAATTTGTAGAGGTGTTGAAGTTTTTAAATACATTGCATCAAATTTCGTAATTATATCAAATGCAGTCTCACACTCGTGAATATATTCCATTTGCTTGTTTGTTATGGCGCCGTAAATGTAATTTGTAGCTTGGATATCCTTTTCTTCCCATTTTTCCACGTCATCGTTTTCACTGACTATTCACTGAACCACATCTTTACATTTTTTAAATTGAAGAAATTTCATCATACGCACTTTCCAATTAAAATAGTCCGAACCATCAAATAGCGGTATGCCGATATCACTGCTTCTTGTACACTGCTAAAAAAAAAATGGGACAGTGCTATATCTCCCGTTCTACTGGGCCAATTGATAAAATTCAAACTACGTTTTTCATGTCTCGAAAGCGTGACTTAGGATATATATTAGATTTATATATAGCACTATTCTAACATAGGTATTTTGACACAAAATCGGACTTTTTCTGAAATAACA